TAGACCAAACTATTTTTTGTGTGCCCTGCCAGAAAATTTTATATGCTTACATAAGCTCAAGGAGCATAGTGGCTCCATACAATACACACTGCACTTGGAACCACAAGGTCTGTGGTTTGAGCCCGCCAGCTGCTCCTTAGGAAAAAGATGAGGCATTCTACTCCCATGAAGATTTAAAGCCTTGGAAACTCCACACTAGGTCCCTATGAGTTGGAACCCACTCCACGACACTTACCAACAAATATAAGCATAGGTTATTGCTTTGACACATAAGTTTGCATTTTCTGTTCATCTTTTTTTTTCTCTTTGTTATCAATTGGGTGATCTATTAATGAATCTTGAAGAGTATTTCATGTTCACAAAGAGAGTTGCCTTTGTTATTTTAGTTAATTGTAGTCTTTTTTTTTTTTTTTAATAGATGTATCAGTTTAACCATCTTCCAACAAATACTTGTTGCCTTATAAATAATTCTCCAGTGAATATCCTTGTGTGTATTTCCGAGTATATCCATTGGATAAAATCCCAAATTTAGCACAGATGGTTAAGTGCCTTGAAAGACAAGTCTGGCAATCTGCTTCTGAAAGGTCAGCTATGAAAATCCTATGGAGCAGTTCTGCTCTGCACAGTGGGGTCTTGATGATCCGGGAGACTTGATGGCAACTAGCAACAGCAGCGTCCCTTCAAGTATAGAATTGCTCTGACAAAGGTGTGCTCATTGAAAAGTGAGAGCCCCGCATTGTTCTTCATAAAGAAGCTTCCTGCAGTGTACTGGAGATGGCTCCTGCCCCAACACCTTTACCAGCAGGGATGCCCATGGGGCTTTCTGATACTGACCAATCTGATAGCAGAAAATGATCCATTGAGGTTTCATTTGCCCATCTCTGAATGAGATTGAATTCATGTCCTTTGCCTGTTTTTCTATTGAGATTCTTCTATCTCTGATTGGTTAGGAGTTCTTTTATAACTAAGGAAATGAATCTTTGCTTGACATTGCAGAGATTTTCCTAGGGTTGTCTTCTGGCTTCATCGTGGTGTTTTTATCATGTGGATATTTTTATAAAGACAAATATGCTAACTCTTTTGTGCTTTTTTTGTTGTTATTTTTAGACTTTATGTAATTTAGAAAGGATTGCCAACTCTGAATTTAAATTTCATTAGTTTTTTTTTGTTGTTGTTGCATTTTTCAAGTACTCTCATAGTTTCTTCTGTTCATATGTAAACCTGTAATCACTTCATCTAGGTCTTAATTGGTCATGAGATGGGGGGCAACTTAATTCTACCCTCCCCCCACCAGAAAACTATCTCTGTTTTTCCCCTTCATTTTTTTTAAATACTTGCTTTTAATACTTACTAAATTTCCTTCTAGATTTGGTCTTGTTTCTAGATTTTTAAATTCTTTCCTATTACTTTATATCACACTGTTTCAATATTGTGTCTTCATAACATCTCTTATGGGGATAGTATATATAGTTGGCGCTGTAGCATAAGCACTGGACTGCTAACAAGGTTGGCTGTTCAAACCTACCAGCCACTCTTCAGAGAGGTTGCTATGAGTTGGAATAGACTCAACTCCAGTTCAATGGCATGTAACAACATAACTCATTTCTGTTTTTCAGAACTTCCCTGTCTTTTCCCCATATAAACAAAACCATAGAATTCTCAGTCTAAAAAAAAAAATTTTTTTTCTAATGTGGAACCTACCATAAATTCAGTTAAAAGTATATGTAAATTCTTAGGCATATGCGCTATTCCCCCAGCCCCTCCACCAATGGAAATGGGCCCTAGCTTTCAGTCAAATTCTCAATGGTCTTAGATGCTCCTTCTCAGAAGAGGCGTCCTGTGGTTCATCTTAACTGAAGGTGACTTTCTTAACAACACCAAGAAGAGTTAATAAGTAAGTCTAAGTCATACCTCCAGTTATACTCCTCTGCAGCATTGTAGAGGTGCTTCCTGGAGTTTTTCAGAATTGATAGTTTTATCCCAAGTACTGATTGTACCGGACTTCTCTTTGCTTGTGTGACTTCCTATACTGGTATTGTAAACATGAACTGTGAAACCACAACAAGAAATGAGTCATAGGGTAAAGCAAATTGTTTTTCACAGGTAGGTCAACATACCAGACACAAGTCAATGCCACCAAGTTATAGATAACCTAGTCCTCACGGTGCTTTAAAGCAAAGCGAGGGCTCTCAATTTCTCTGATCATTTGGATTTAATTTTGGAGAGTTGTATGCAATCAGTACAGAAGCACCACACACTAATCAGAAAATAGGCCACAAAGAAGTACAAAAGAATATACAGAGCACAGGAAACAAAACTCTATAGGCCCAAACCTAACTTGAAACCAAATGCCAGCCACAATGTACAATAACTGTTTTCATCACAGATTTTGCTTAGTATCCTTAATTTAGGAAAATGTTTGTACAATGCTCTAGAAGCCTAAGGCTTTTTTACCCTCTGCAAAGAGGAAGGGAAACTTTTTTCTTTGCAGTGACAGATATTTTTCTCTAGCAAGTAAGGCAGAACTCATCTCAGAATGGCCTCCCTAGCCTCCCTAGAGATGGTTCTGTGTCATGTGATCAACCTCCTTGTTGCCAGCTGAGCAAATTTACAGACCCTTAATGGTGCAAGTCAGAGTGCTCCTTGGAGGCCAAGATGGCTAAGCTTCGTCTCTCATACTTTGGACATATTGTCTGGAGGAAACAGTCGCTGGAGAAGGATGTCATGCTGGGTAAGGTGGAGGGTCAGAGAAAAAGAGGAAGACCCCTAATGAGATGGATCAGCCAGGTGGCATCATTGATGGACTCAAGTGTGGCAGCGGTAGTGAGGTTGGCCCAGGATCGGACATTGTTTCGTTCTGCTGTGCATGGGGTCGCTATGAGTCGGTTCCGACTCGATGGCACCTGACAACAATGGTGCAAGTGGCTTGTGCTTGACTTCTAAAGGTTAGTGGTTTGAATGTACCCAGCATTGCAGCAGAAGAAAGTCCTGGCAATTGCTTCCATACAGATTTCAGCCAAGAAAACCTTACGGAACAGTACTACTCTGTTAATGCCTTCATTGGCTATCAAAAGGTTTATGGTTTGAACCGACCAGGGGGTACCTCAGAAGGTCTAGTGATCTACTTCTTTTTTTTTTTTTTTTCTTAAATGTTTTATTGTGAATTATGTGAGAGTTTACATGGGAGAACATTGGTTTTACATTCATTCTATCGTATATAGTATCATTGCCATGGTTACAATCCCCTCCATGCAATCCTTCCCCCATACCCCCCAGGTCTTCAGCACACTGTCGCTCTCCCTCTCTGATTCTAACAATTCCAGCTGCTGCATCACTCCACGTCATCATCTCTGGCTCCATTTCAGGCATCACTGCTTCTCTGGGTAGGGTCCCGCTCTCTGTTCTTCTCTGGCGATCTACTTCTGACAAATCAGCCATGAAAACCCTGTGGAGCACAGTTCTGTTTTGACCTACATGGGGTTTCAATGAGTTGAAGTTGATTGGATAGCAACTGGCATCAACCCCGATACTAATAGATCCTCATGATCTGCTTGCGGAGAGTAGCATGTTAGCCAGCCAGGCCATCTTGCTGGGTCCAGCTAACAGTCTCTCTCTTGGTGTATGACCAACTTAAGTGAACTCTTACTTGACCCCTTCTTTTTACCCTAATCAAGGGAAACTGCTTTTTATACCTTTATATTATATTTTCCATCTGCCACTCAGACTGAATATACTGCACACTACGTTGTATACTTGATACCTTGTGTTTTCACCTGCCTCCCTGTCAGTGAGCTGCTGGGGAGCTTTTCTCTGTGTGCCCGGCAGTGGCCTGAAACTAACAGCCAACTCATGGATCAACTCTCATGAATCTCTGAGTGTTGTGGATAGAGTAAGGATCCAAGTCAGAGACCCAGGAGAATGCACACTGGATGTGCATTCAAAGGCGCAGCAGCTTTCACACCATAAAACAGAGGTCATTAGGATAGGTTTTATATGTGTGTTGTTGTGAAGTGTAATTATCCAGTGGGTTCTGACTCATATCGACCCTTTACAGGGTTTCTGAGAAGCAGCTGGTGGGTTCGAAGCGCCCACTTTGTGGTTCACAGTCCAGTGTTTATCTTGCAGCGCCACAAAAGTTGGAATGTCAGAGTGGGCTGGGAAAGCTGTCTGCTCACTGACACAGTCACTTAAGTTGGCTATAGGCCAACAGTAAGAGAATGGTAGCTCTTAGTGGGACTTGGGGCAGAAGCAGCAGGCAACTGGGACCTGGCCTGGACCAGTCAGATCTATAGGAAATAGGTGTGTAGCACTGTGGGTTAATACGCTAGACTGCAAAATTGGTTTGAACTGCAAGGTTGGTGGATCAAGCTCACCAGCTGCTCCTCAGAAACCCTATAGAGGGTCGCTATGGGTCGGAACCAACTTGATGGCACTTCACAACGAACAACAACAAGACATACAGGCCTTTTACTGACTAGTGTTATGTTTAGATTATTTCCTTTAAGTTTATATGCTTTTCTTATGTAACACAAACCATCATGTTCACTTCATCACCCCCACCCCTTATAAACAAAATGAGGACAACAACAAAACACCAAAAAAAGCCCCAAACTCCATAATTATAAAGTTATCAAAATTGGTAAGAGAGTAAAAGTTTGTATGAATTTTGCACAGTTCTCTAATCCTCACAGTGTCAGATTCCAGGTTGTATAATGGCTAACATACTCAGCTGCTAGCCAAAAGTTTAGAGGTTTGAGTCTACCCTGAGGTTCTTTGGAAGAAAGTCCAGGTGATGTACTTCTGAAAAATCAGCCATTGAAAACTCTATAGAACACAGTAGTCCCTGACACCTCACATGAGGTCTCTGTGAGTCAGAATTGCCTTGATGAGGAAATTGTGAAGAGAGAATGAACAATCTTCTCTGTCATGTGAGTTGAGTTGCCATGTAGAAGTGAATCCTAACTCTATTTCTTACCCCCTCACTTTCAGTTTCCCTGGCAAGAACATCCCCCAAGATGACAGACGAGAACAATAGTACCAGGGAATGCGTGTCCTTCCGTGTGCTAAACTGGGATCAGGTTAGCCGGCTGCATGAGGTCCTGACTGAGGTGGTCCCAATCCATGGACGAGGCAACTTTCCAACCTTGGAGATAACTCTGAAGGACATTGTTCAGACTGTTCGCAGCCGGCTGGAAGAGGCAGGCATCAAAGTGCAGGACGTCCGACTGAATGGCTCTGCAGCTGGCCACGTCTTGGTCAAAGACAACGGCTTGGGTTGTAAAGACCTGGACCTCATCTTCCACGTGGCTCTTCCAACAGAGGCAGAATTTCAACTGGTCAGAGATGTGGTTCTGTGTTCCCTTCTGAACTTTCTGCCAGAGGGGGTGAGCAAGCTCAAAATCAGTCCAGTCACTCTTAAGGAGGCTTATGTCCAGAAGCTGGTGAAGGTCAGCACAGACACTGACCGCTGGAGCCTGATCTCCCTCTCCAACAACAATGGGAGGAATGTGGAATTGAAATTTGTCGACTCCATCCGGCGTCAGTTTGAGTTTAGTGTGGACTCTTTTCAAATCATCCTGGATTCTTTGCTTTTTTTCTATGATGACTCCAGTAACACCATTTCTGAGCATTTCCACCCCACAGTGATTGGAGAAAGCATGTATGGGGACTTTGAGGAAGCCTTTGATCACCTGCAGAACAGACTGATTGCCACCAAGAACCCTGAAGAAATTAGGGGCGGGGGACTTCTCAAGTACAGCAACCTCCTCGTGCGGGACTTCAGGCCCACAGACCAGGAAGAAATCAAAACTCTAGAGCGTTACATGTGCTCCAGATTTTTCATCGATTTCCCGGACATCCTCGAACAGCAAAGGAAGCTGGAGACCTACCTTCAGAACCACTTTGCTGAAGAAGAAAGGAGCAAGTACGACTACCTCATGATCCTCCGCAGGGTGGTGAACGAGAGCACCGTGTGTCTCATGGGGCACGAACGAAGGCAGACCCTGAACCTCATCTCCCTCCTGGCCCTGCGTGTGCTGGCAGAACAAAACATCATCCCCAACGCCACCAATGTCACCTGTTACTACCAGCCAGCTCCTTATGTGAGTGACGGCAACTTCAGCAACTACTATGTTGCCCATCCTCCGGTTACCTACAGCCAGCCTTACCCAACCTGGCTGCCCTGTAACTAACCTAAGACCTGAGGGTTTCTACAGTGGGAACCCCAACAGGGCAAGAGCTCTCAAGTAGGAGAACCTCCTTCTAGATGTAGGTGTTTGGCTTTTAAAGGGGAACTCAGCTCTGATTCTGCTTTTTATTTTTTTTTTCTTTGTGTACCCATTGAAATGGGTCTACAGTATATCATGAGCCAACCCTAAAGGGACCCATATTCCAGTGCCAATTTGGAAAATGCTATAGGAAGAATGGCTTATCCATATCTTTACAAAAGTAGACACTAACATGTCCCATCTCTGACATGAGCAGTAATTGAGATTGGGGAAATCTTGGGAGTATATGAGAAGCGATAAGCTCATTGTCCTTCCTTCTCACTTGAGACTGGAGTCAGTTGTGTTCGCCCTTCCTTGGGATTCTCGGCAGTTACATGCAAGTTGTGCTTGATAGTCTATTTTGTTATAACAATTTTAATCAGGCAACAAATGGTAAACATGAGTGATTCACTTTTTGTTCAAGGGACTTTATCCTGTCAGCAGAGCTGAGGGTTTCCTTTATCAATAAACCAAAGGCAGTAGCTGGAGAATTGAGATCTGAATAGAAGTGGTTTATGGTTTTGATACTGTGCTGTCACCAAGAATTGTGGGAAATTGCTGAGAGAGAGGAAAAAAGAAAAAAAAAAAAAAAGACCCAAGTTTCCTGAAATGTAACTTGAAAACAAAATAAATAAAATGTGGAATCTAATTCTGAAGTAGAATTGTGGTGGTGGGGGGTGATTATAAATAGGAAACATGAATGCTCAATTTTTTTCTTTTCTTTTTTCTTTAGAGTAAGGAATTCTTATTGAATGACTCTTTTTTTTCCCCCTTCATCAGCTCTTTTCATGGATGACTGCATTTGCTCAAGGATTGTGCTGAGTCGAGAGTCATTATTGTAACTGACATATGAGGGTCTTCCTATGTTTTAATTGGAAACCCATTTTGGTCACATTCCAAGTATGACCAAGTTCCTTTTTTTTTTTTAAATGAAAAGTATGATTTCCTCCCCCAGTTTTTCTTTTCTGACAGCAGATAAATTCTGGAATTTCAGCAGACCTGGATAACCTGTGGAAGGATCTGTTTTGTTAGCAGAGTTCTTTGGATTAAAATTGCTAACCTGCTGTCTCTGGGTGCATGTGGAAGTGGAGGGTTAGCCTGAAACCTGGCCTTTGAAATGATTGATTCTGGTGTATCTGGGAAGAACTGTGTGAATGAACGATCTTCTATATTCTGGTAGATTTGATCATACTTGCTTGTTCTGTGCTTTTGAAGAAAAACAGTGTTAATCTCTCATCTAAAGCAAGTTTAGTTAGTGGGAGAGATCTAGGCAACTAATGTTTTTCTCAGTAGACTTAGATATGCGATTTTGTGTGTTGATATGTTTTGTGGGATCTCTTAGAAAGCATCACTTTAGGGTATCAAGGGCAAAGACACTTAATATTGCCAGCTTGGTTTTTAAAGTTATTTAATCAAATCCATGTTTCTGATTTTTGACTTTCATCTCTGGCCATGCAAATACCAAACCCTGACTGGTTGCCTTCTCCTTGCTGTAAGCAATGGAGTTATTGTAATGCAGAAATGCTTAGTAGAAAATGAGTGGTTGACTTTTTTTTCTAAAGGTTTCTTCTGGAATGTAATGTTGTGGTCCTCCTAAAAGAAAGGTGATCAGAAATTACTGAAATCCAAGACTTGGCTGGTATCCATGTTGTGGGATTTGAGGTGAATATAGAAGCCACTTGTTAGTATAGCTAGCTCTTGTGTCCCTGTGAGCTTTAGTTATATTTGAATTCACTGGCTTTGAGTCAAGGCCAGCTCGACATTGAGAAGGGACAGTGGGGTGCTTCAGTGTTTATAGAGGGGGAGTGAAGCCCAATGAAGAAGGAATGCCAACTTCAAAAACTACCTGATCATCCGTGACCTTAAAAAGCTGCCATTGTGGTCAAATGGCAACATGTTTGCACAGAAATGACAGATCTTAGCAGATTTGTTTAACCAAAGCTTTGAAATGTGATGAAGCCGTCAACATAAGTGCTTGCTAGCTTCTTACAGAAATCAGTATTGCTTCTACTAAGAAGGCTTGGGAATCCAGGGTAATGAGGCCCTGGATGAAGATAGACTCAGAACTGCATCAAGTAATTAAATTTCTAGTTTGTCCTTGAAGTTGTTTTTGCTTATATATTATTATTTTCCTTAATTGGTAATATCCCTTGTCAAAGGAGACTCAGAAGTTACATAACATTTCCAGTCCTTCAGTGCTTTACCACCATTGCAGGATGACCATCTTACCGTAATGGGACCTGTCATCTTAGTAGCAGGTCTTCACTTGAACTTTAATTCAGCCAAACTATTTTTGTAGTTTGAGAGCAGACATGTGTTCTAGAACCATTGAAGTGAAAACGCTGCCTGCAGCTCAGGACACCATTATACTAACCTTTTGACGACATAACCCTTGGTCTAATGGTGTCTCCACCTGCTTTAGGAGCTTTTGACCAGGCTTGGAATTGACCAGATAACTTGAAGTTCAGGTGTCTGGGAATTCCAGCTGAAACCCGCCTTTTATATTTCTCACAAAAACACCAGGGTACTTTCAACTTGTACTGAGTCCAGTGGGTCCTCTTTTGTGTGTGTTGAATAATCTGAAGGTTGGCAGTGGCAGAGGACACTAAAGTTCAAGTGCAAGTTCTAATCCCGACTTAAGCAGTCTCTTATTGACTTCAGGACTCTGAACAGTTTTCTGATAGCCTTTTTTAAGCTTCTTGTCTCAGCCTGTTTCTTGGAATCAGGTTGAAGAATTACGAGATTCAAATGGTGCCTTTCTCCCTTGTGTTGGTAGAAAAGCACACAGTAAAATTCCTGGCCTTGAACTTCAGTCTCACTCTTAAATTTTACCTTGACAATAAAGTTTAAGTTCCTCACTCACAACTTCAACTTTGGAGACTAAGCTCTGTATCTCACCAATGCCTTAATATGTGAGTTCTTGTTCACTGACTGTACGTGTCATGTTGACCTGGCCCAACCTGAGAGAACCTGGTGGAAGCAGAAAGTTGAATAGATGCTACTTCATATATATAGTACAGATATAGTTTGGCAGTCAAGTGTTTCCCCTCCCCCCCCCCAGTTTGATTTTCCTTGGGGACTTGAGTTACAGCAAGCTGCGTGTGAACCTGAGCTTTGTGGTGGCACATTAATAATCAAATTGCTAAAGATCTGATTCTGCTTGTCCTTGAACTTCCCCTCTTAGCCCCTTACTCCTTACCTTCTTGGTAGATTAGGATTGATAGATTAGTACTCTTGTTAACCTTGGGGAAATGGTGCCACTCAAAAGCAACCTCTTGGCTTTCAGAATAACTCCTTTCTAGTTAACTTTTTGGGATTGGTGCTTTGTTTTAGGATGCAGCTACTTAGATCCTTAGCTTGAACATCCTCTTCTAGAGAGTGAATTAAAATATAGTTATCCAAATGTTTAAAAAACAAAATACAAAAAAGCTTACTGGGACCATTTCTTCCTGGGTATCTGTGTAGGGCTCTGCACTGGGGAGAATCCTTGGAGTGGATTCTGTAAATTGAGAGAACTTCTAAGTTTCCAAGGTTAGATTCATATCTTTAATCTGGCAGAGACCAAAATGTCACAGCTGCCGTTGGAACATACTCTAATCCATCCAATTAAATTCAGAGGACCAAGGGGGAGGTATGTAGGGGGAAGTATGAAAAAACAAAACACAAAACAACAGACCTGTCAACTTTTCAAGATTACTGATGAAGACTTGCAGGGTGAGGATCAAGAAAGAAAAGGGCTATTTTGTAAGTTCAAGTGCCTACATCTTGTTTACCTATCACTTTTTAAAAAATATAGTTCAAGTGTAAGCTGAAGAACATGCTTGGAGTTTTGCCTGAGCTAGTGAGAGTTGGTGCAGGTCTTCATGTGTGTTTGCAGAGGAGTTGAGAAGACCATGCACGAAAGAGGAAGTCATTAAAAAATAGGAATTTGTGGGCTTTCAAATTTAGTTTAAAAAATTCAAGTTACCTTTTTTTTTTTTTAAAATGAATAAAATTCTTAATTTTCTAAAGCAGCTATTGGTTTCTAAATTAATACAGATGAAAAGTTAACATACCCATGAGAATAAATTGGAAACTTTTTCAATATCCTGTATTTGTGTATATTCATTGCTTATCAGTGCCTAAGATGGAAGGGCATTCCTCTTTGTTAATGGTCTCCAACCTTCTTTCTTGATGCCAATGAAATCACTTGTCAATGCAAAAATGTGTTAGAACTTGATGAAATAAAGCTTTGAGTTTGAGAAATAAAATGTAATAAAAAAAGAAAAAATGGTCAGCTATGCTCATTTCCTTTTGTTTGTCCTCAGTGTTGATTGTATTCTAGGTGACAGGAAACATGTTAAATGGCATAATGAACAGTTGTTGACATTAGCAACGTCAGATACTTCTCAGAAACACTGTTTTTTTCTGGGCTGGCGATGAGAAGGCAAGTGTAGTTATATTGGGGGCCATAATTCTTTTCAATATTTGGAATCATCTCCAATGCTCTTGAGTGATTTAAGGTGCGACATTCTTCATCACAACCAATTGGCTGATACTTAATTGTGGGTGTTGTACTCTCTCTATGTGATCTGGTGGTACCTGGGAGGATTCATTACTAAAAGCCAAGTTCTCTTGAGCTTGACCGTGGACCCCAGCCCTTTTCAATAATGGAATCAGGATAACTCCAACCATACTATCAACGTTTAGCGCCGTTGAGTTGGTTCCAACTCATAGAGACTCTGCATAGGGTTTCCAAGGAGCCACTGGTGAGTTTGAACTGCTGACCTTATGGTTGAAACTGACCTTGCAGTCCAGTTCTTTATCCTACAGTGCCACAGTAGGACTCATACTGTTTAAGAGGAGACATCAAAAAGTTCATGGGAAAATTCCATTATCTTAATTCCATTTTAATCGCTTTTTGAACCCCCTTTACAATGATCATA